TGCACCCCGAAACCGGGGTAGGGCAACTCAGGCACTGCAAAGAAAAAAACACCGTGATGGTTTCTATCACAGAGCCACGAAAGCAGTCGCCGCGCTCAAGCTTCTACCCTCCCACCTCCCAAAGCCCTTGTCGTTGCTTGAATGCACTAGCAGTCGGTTGCTTCAATAGTTTTTGGCACCCTACATTGGTCGTAGAAGTTGAACATTGGTTGACAGAGCTTCCACCAGCATTGTTGCAGCAGCTGCACATGCACCCCGAAACCGGGGTAGGGCAACTATGGCGCCGTGATATATATATATATATATTCAACAGGTCTCTCAAAAAGCCGGCCTGTATTCAGTTTCTTGACATATTCCAGTTTTTTGCGGAGCAGCCTTTCAAGACTCATTGCGAAACTATTTGCGGGCCAATCGCGATATATCCACCATTTCGATACCGGAGTGAGCAGCACAGTGAATCTGAAACTCACCAAACAATCCGGCCTACGTAAACATTCTTGTTGCTGCTTGAGTTCCTTGGTGAGTCTTCTTCGCCATTACTGACGTGTAGACGAGATACCTGTCCATGTGTTAATTCCCCCTGTGCATATGCACATTGCACGCCTTACATACTTGCTCACCTTGAGCACGGGATGGGATGTATTGAACAGCAACGGAGGTTTGCCTGATCGAGACCCAGGACCGTAGTAGGTGAAAAACCCCGAGTTGATTATTCTATTTTTGGGGCGTACAGGGTTTCGATCGAATATTTTATATCGTTTGAAGCTCAGGAGTGCATCAAACAACACGACATGGAGGAAGAGATGCATCCGGGTCCCCTTCATTAAACGTTCTCAACTGCTCCAATATGTAGTCTAACATTCTTGATGAGCTGCTGTTGAGATTCCGTGGAAAATGGCTGACAATAGGTGAGGTTCCACTGTAGTTGCAACTTAATTCTATTTGAGACCCAGGGTGGGGATCCAATCACCTACTCAGTTACCTTTTCTGACAAAGATAAATCTATCTTCCCGAATCTTCCCGCATTAAGAGCCTTTCAATCTTGCGGTGCCGTATGTGCAGCATTTTTTGTTCTCCCTTGGATTCTGAATGGACTATTCAGCAAGGCAGTCCATAAGAACATTGGGTTTGAATGTACAGTGTACAGGCCAGGCATGTTGATGCGCCGAGCCCGCTGGGCACCCAGAAGAGTTGCTGTTGTTGCTCACAGTATTGGTGGACTGTACAAGGTTTTTTTCGGAAGCGCTCTTCAACAAGTGCCGGAGACTTGGTTTTTTTGTTATCCGACCGAACGGCCCGACGGCCACATGAAGTTGAAGAAGTGTTCTCATTTGAGGCCGCAGTCGAATGGCCTATTGGGCGGTCACCATCCGGTGTGTGATTCTAAGTCTCCTCAAAGTCTGTGAGTTTCATCTAAAGAAGTCTGCGAGATGAACAAAACTAGTCTCAGCATTCAAGGAATGGTGCTGGAGAATGCCACCTTACTCCGTGGTGTGCAGACTGCAATTCATTGCTCCAGCTTTTCTTCTATGTGGGTCGACTTTTCCTATCCATTTTTGCACAGACTTTGACTTTGATAGCTTAGATGTCCAAGGATGATGCAGTGGCAGCTGAGAAATGGGAGGAAGATGTGTCAAGCAACTCACCCTTTCCTTACCTGTCGCCTCTACTTTGATTCAGTGCTTGATAGGACAGCCCTTCTGTCCGCTCAGGGCTGGCATCTGAGATTGTTCCATCTTCAACCCAGTTGCCCTGAGGCAATTCAAGGTGGATTATATTTTGCAGTCTGGTTTCACGACATGTGACTGCTCTCATGAAGAGATTATTATTGTGCAAGTTGGCTGCTTTCCTAGGCCGCATCCTTGGGGCCGTGGCTATGGCTGGCTAGTAGAATTGAACCTGCCAGTCCTCCGGCCTGCTTGGGCTTTGAGACCTGAAGAAAACAGACATGGACACAGAATGAAGCAGCAAAGATCATCAGAGAAACTAATTGTATCCCAGGTCTTTCTCGGGAGATTTGTGCCAGGAGGAGCACAGAGAAGAAATGGGCATACCTCTCAATTCTGCTCCGGCACCTCGTTGGCTTCTCAGGATGTTTCTGTGCCTTTGGAGGAACTGCTTGCAACGTCCTCGGCGTATCAAACGTCAGGACGCATGTTGCATTCATCACCGGCTTGATGCCCGCCTTGGAGCCAAACTTTCAAACATCCGGTCCGAAGAGTGCCCCTGTAAATCCGACTCTGACAAGTGTACCTGCAGCCCAGCCCCACCACACAGCTACAATGTAATCCATTTTTTCGCCACGAGGCATTGCCGTGCCTCATCATCCAAGAAGCACTGCTACGAGCAGTGTTTTCATTTTTCCCTCTGCTGTCCGTCTTTTTTGCTCCTGTTCTAGCTTTAAGGGGTTCAAACGATGGGACAGTTTTAATCCGTTCTTTTCTGATACGTTTGAAGTTAAGAGAAGGGTGGGGTAGCTGCAGGGTTCATTTTTGACCTGTCGGGATATCGGGTTTAACCGGTTCTTTTGGGACCTGCTTGGGGTAGCTGAAGGGTGCTCTTTCAACCTGTCAGGTCAATCTGTTTGGTGGGCACCAAACAGGTTCAAGGAACAAAAAAAGGAACCTTATGATTATGGAACCTTTAAAAGCCTTGAGGCAGGTGAAAGAAGAACCCTTATATGAGTCCAACGCTTTCGTTTCGTTCTTGCGGCTTGCACAAGGTTGGATCCACATTGGGCAGCGGGTGCTCGCTGGAAAGCCCTTGCCACAGTGTGTGCTAGTGTTGAAAGTGTCGACAAAGTTCAAGGGTATGACGGTGTGACCACCCCGTACGTTTGTGTTCATGTTTATTCATGTCTTTTACTTGCTTACTTGTCTGCAGTGAACAAGCGCTTCTTCGCAGCTTTACAGAGACGAACAGCATCAGCACGAAGAATGCAAAGGTAGTTGGACACATATTTGGTCAAAACAATCTCAGTCGCACAGTTTCTGACTCAACAATTCTTTAACACTGCCCACATGATTATGGAAATCCCGTCAACACGCTTGCCCCGACTCAGCTTTGTCCTTCTTTCAAGAGGAGTTGCAAACCGCATACTGTGAGTGGGGGGAACAGAGCCTTCCCAACGAGTCTTGTAACTTCTACAAGTGCAGTGCGAAGTTTCACGTGGTGACCAAAACATGGTTCATTGGGGGTGTTGGAAGCAGTGCATTGCCAGTTTGATCGTTTCGCAGCTGTAACAACGTTATGATATTTTGGAAACTGTAGTGTCGGGGCAAGTTGTGAATGGAGGGGATACATCAAACGAAAAATACAAAAAGTCAACTGTGTGGAGTTCGGCAGACACATCAAGTTCAATGAAGCCATGAATTCTGCGGGCATTGAAGGTTGTGACTGAAATGCAACTCGTGGCGATATCAAACCTTGAGTGGTCATTCTGGTGCAGATGTGTTTGCTTCAAGCTTGGAGGTTGGAGTTGATGGAGTCGACACATGACGACGTTTGATATGACAGTTTCCGGATACTTCAGAAGCATGCTTGAACTTGTGGTGCTCGTGGTGCTTTAGTTTGTGTCTTGCTTCTGCCAACTTTGCTCAAGCAGATTGGAAGATGTAGAAACTTAAACCAGTGGTGATTCCAGCTGCGATGGATTCCCTTGCAGATGCAGCTGAAGCTGACGTGTCCAATTCTGAGCAAGTCCTTGAGCAGCAACCAAATTCTACAACCGCTTGCACTGTTGCAAACTCAGGCCGCCACCACTACCAGATGTTGGAGGCTACGCTGTGGAGATACACCCTTCACCATAGTTCATTTGCAGGGTACATGATGCTAGTGATGCCTTTGTAGATTTAGTGCAGACTCAGCATAGCAGCATAGTCATTTATCTTATAACTGTGGTCTGGTGCAGAAAGATTCGTGGGAATGGACAACTCCCAAAGAAGAAGGTGTTTGTATTCAACAAAATATGTACCCTGCGCTGACTTCATGTTCTTTTGTTGATACATGCATTACAAAGTATTCGGTCAGAGAACAGTAGCGGTGTAGATTCACACAGTTTTGTTTGCATCCGTTTGAATGGCAGACGGTGCCGATTTGGTGCCTCGTCCTCCACCGCTTCGAGATGGAGTACCATTAACTTTGAGCTACAGCAACTGGCCAAGACTGTTGATGGATGTTGGAAGATGGTGTGCTTGAGATCAGTGTCCTTGAGATCAGGTGATTTTCGCTGGCCAGGTTGCGCCCCTTCCCCTGCATTCAGCGACATGGTCCATACTCCTGACCCTGAGCAAGGGATAGCTTGGACAGCAGCTGACGTTGTGCGATCACGACTCCAGCCCCATGGTTTGTTTGCTTTGTGGTCATAAGGTCATCACTGAGAGCACTGCCATTGATGGTCAAGCTGGGCTGCTGATGTGGTGGAGGCATGTTGAGCACCTTGATCCAATCTGGTCAAAGTGAAGAGTGACCAAAAGTGAAGGTGGACCTTAATTGCCCAGGCCTGGCGAGGATTACCAAGACCTCCCACAAGCTTCAGGCAATCCGTGGCACTGGGGAGGCTGTTGGAGATCTTCAGCTGCAATAAGATGAGAGCCATTCTCTAAGTGTGTCCTCATGATGCTTTTGGCAGCCTTGACATCCAAGATATGTCGGAAATCGTGGGCGTCCGGTACACCACGATGTTTGGCGATCCTGGCAGGGAATTTCTGCAAAGTGGCATGGTTGATTGTGGTCGTGCAACATTTTGCAAGGTGAAATGTAGATTTCAATGACTGCTTTGGCCCAAAATGGAAAAGACCTCATGTGACGCTCAGGTGGCAGCAGACAACCAGTCCAAATTTCGTTTTGGGACCTCACAGCTGACAGAATATGTTTGCTTTTGCTAAATCCGCTGAGCATAACATTTGCGCAACTCAACTGCATCAGACAACACGGTGCTTTTCTGCAGTGATATTGAAGTCAGGTACATGCTTCCAAAAGGAAGCATGAAGAGAGGATATATATATAGTTGTATATAATATAAAGGTTTTAAGCTTTCGATCAAACTAGGCTGCTAACCCTTTTGTCCATGTCTGAGTCATTCCAAGCTGTTAGCTCCAGGAACAAAGATTTCCTTGCACTTTGACGATGTATATAGTAGGAAGTGTACCAATAGCCTTTGTTGTGAGAGCCAGACAGTGGATATTTTTCGCAATCAAGGCTAAGCGTTGTTCTGGCTTGGCAATTGTCAGAGATTTTTCCATCAGAGAATGGCAGCTCAGTCGCATTGCTGCGATGCAATATGTGTATGTATGTATATATATATATAAAGAACACACACACACATATATATATATATGGCTCAAGTTTCCTGCTCAAGCACGGGCACAGGGCCCTTTGGAGCTCTTCGGCATTGGTTCTTCACCCGCCCTTTGCGTGGACAAGAGGAACACTCCTGATATCACCTTCGGTGACCTGGCATTTCTTCTTCATGGGCTGGCAATCCTTCCGCGCCTACCAGTGCTGCAGCTCTAAGGACTGTGGCAATTGGATCTGGGAAGACCGAATTCAGCCTCACTATGTCTGCCGGATGTGCTCTACTCCATGGAAGCAGCCGGCACAAGGATTTGCCAAGGCCACAGACAGATATCCAACTTCATGGAAGACCAACCGAAGACGAGTGACCCCTCCACCGGGTCTCCCGGTCAGCAAGGCACCACGCCCGGCCAAACTTCAACAGTCGGCTGCAGACATCCTAGCTCCAGCGTGGTCGACATTGGATGAAGGCATGCGCACCAAGCTGATCCAGCTAGGCATTGATCCCTCACCCAAGGTCGATGAACCGGACCTTCAATCAGTCCTCAAGGAGAATATGCCAGCAGGCGCCTTGGGCACAAATCTGTCGAGTTTGGTAGCGGAGCCTGGTGCTCCGTTGCCGTTTTTTCCAGCGCTGCCATAGGCTGCTGGTGCTCGCTGCGGCTACCACCACGGTCAGCGTGACACAGAGGTCGGAATCCTTTTCGACGGCGGCTTGGAAGGAAGAGACCAGGAAGGCAGAGGCTCGGTGGCGGATTGGCCGCTGCAAGACACCGCTAGCTGGTGGTTCCTACATCCTTGAGAACTTCATCACAGGCCCCGTGGACTCCATCGATTACAAGATCGCTGGACTATGAATCCGCCAAGCTCTGGGAGCATTCCGCTCCAGGAGTACAGGCGGGACATTCCGCCAGGCTGGATTGCAGGCGCCTTGAGGACCTACTTCGACAAGCTGAAGCTTTGGTACGGGGTCGCCAATGTGGAGGATGAGGCCATTGGGCCATTGGTGGCCGGAAGGCTCTATGGAAGAGCATCCACCATTGCCATGTCACTGAGGGTGCCTAGGCCTGACGGCTCCTTCGATGTTGGCGATGCAGCGCTTGTCTGACTGGCTGTTGACGAGGTCCGTGACCCGACGACCAATGTGGTCATTCAGAACCACATCTTCCTGGCCAATGCACTCCGCACGGCCTTCTTTCAGCAAGATCAAGATCTGGCTACACAAGCCCTAGACAAGTTCTTCGGCCTTGCTCGCGGACAGCTTAGCTTGTCTGAGTACAGCGTGGAGTTCGACAGCCGATACGATGATGCTCATGACAGAGTTGGACTGCAGCTGAACGATGTTGGCAAGTTCTTTCCTATGGTTCAAGAACTTAGGACTGCCATCCAAGACTGTTGATGACATCAAGCTGCAGATCGCTGGCGACTACACTCGCTTCAACGACGCAAGAGCTCTGGCATTGCGCATCAACCTCAATCGGCGCGAACCTGATGATGCACAGATCCTCTATGAGGAAACGATGAGTCCTATGGCGACCACGACGCCTACTACCAGGATTGACTATGAGGAGTACGCCAATGATGAGACCTACTATGAGAGCCAGAATGCCAGCGATGAACCACGGCAAGAGGTTGACCTTGAGGCTGGCGTGGCTCAGCAAGCGACTCCAACGTCTCTGGCGAGTACAACAAAGCCTACTACAAGGGCAAAGGCAATGGCAATGATGATGGCTGCTTCAACTGGCAGCAAGTTCCACAGAGTTCGAGATTGTCCACTTGGCAAGGGCAAGAACAAGAAGGGCAGCCACAACTACCAAGGAAAAGGAATTTCAAAAGTCTTCTGGCGATGGCGACCCAACCTCAAGGGCAAAGGCAAGAGCAAGAGCAAGCCCCCTTGGAGAAGCAAAGGAAAAGGCAAGGGCAAATGCTTTGGCCGAAAAGGCCACTACTATACACCTATATACTATGAGGACGACGCCTACAAGCCTCGTGGTGGCCTGTCGATCAGCGAAGGCATTCCTGATGCCTCAACGCCTCAAGAGGTTGCCACCAGCTCTAAAGAAGCCAAGACGACCAAGAAGACGTCTGAGAGCTTCGTGATCCACACCTCATCCGAGGATGAAGACTTCGAGGGATATTCAAGGGAGTACACGACCAAGGATCACTACGACTTGAAGCTCAAGATGAACTTCTTGGTCTTCAACGTGAAGAAAGAAGAGGCGCAGATGAGCTAGCACACAATCCATGGCCAAGAGCGATATGGTTTGCTCAGCGACCCTGGGGCCGCATCCGGCTTGGTTGGCAGTGAGACAGTTGCTCCATGGGCGAAATGGAGATCAACTGCAACAAGATCACTCCAGTCTCTGGCATTTCAGGGAACAGCGAATCGACTCTTGGAGAGGTCACTTTGACCATGGCAACAGCTGGACAACCCATCACCTATACGGCGGAGGTCATTGGTGGA